AAAAAAAAAATGGGCCAAGAAACTGAACAGAGACTTCTCAGAAGATGATATACAATCAATCAACAAATATATGAAAAAATTTTCAGCATCTTTAGCAATTAGAGAAATGCAAATCAAAAATACTCTAAGTTTTCATCTCACTCCAGTCAGAATGGCACCTATTAAGAATACAAACAACAATAAGTATTAGCAAGGATGTAGGGAAAAGGCACACTCTTATATTGCTGGTGGGACTGCAAATTGGTACACCAATCTGGAAAGAAAGTAGCATGGAGATTTCTTGGAAAACTGGGAATGGAACCACCATTTGATTCAGCTATCCCACTCCTATGTTTATACCCAAAAGACTTAAAAATAGCCTACTAAAGGGACAGAGGCACATCAATGTTTATAGTAGTACAATTCACAAAAGCTAAATTGTGGAACCAACCTAGATACTCTTCAGTAGATGAATGGATAAAGAAAATGTGCTATATATACACAAAGGAATATTACTCAGCATTAAAAGAGAATAAAATCATGTTATTTGCAGGTAAATGGATGCAGTTGGAAAATATAATGCTAAGTAAAGTAAACCAGTCCCCCCAAAACAAATGCCGAATGTTTTCTCTGATATAAACATGGGGGTGGGGGCGGGGAGCATGGAGGAATAGACAAACTTTAGATAGGGCAAAGGGGAAGGAGGGGAATGGAGGGGGCATGGGGGTGGAAAGATGGTGGAATGACGTGGACATCATTACCCTAAGTACACGTATGAAAACATGAATGGTGTGACTCTTCTTTGTGTACAACCAGAGACATGAAAAAAAGTGCTCTATTTGTAATATGAATTGAATTGCATTCTGCTGTCATATATAACAAACTAGAATAAATAAAATGAAAAAGAAATCATTCTAATGCAAAGCAGACTTCTGCTTACATCTTATATTTTAAAATATTTTTATTAGTTGTAGATGGACACAATATATTTATTTTTATGTGGTGATGAGAATTGAACCCAGGGCCTCACACCTGCGAGGCAAGCACTCTTCCACAGAGCTACAGCCCCAGCCCTGCTTATTATGTCTTATTGACTATAACTGGAATTGACCTCCTCCGTTACTAGCAAAAGGGAATGGTATTGTGATGCTCATCTTAGATCAATTATATCTATCCTCTAAAGCTGGGAGGTAGATGTAGTCTTCTAAATACCTTGCTACATCTTCCCTATCTCCCTTCACCCCACCCCCAAAGAGGATTTTTTAGACTATAGAAAAAGTAGGACAGGAATAATACTAACATCTGCTATAATTTTCAAAGTGATAATCCAGATGGGTATTTCCCATTTCCTCACTTTAGTGCCTTACAGAAAAAAAAAAAATTCCTGGTACCAGGAATTGAACTCAAGGATGCTTAACTACTAAACCACATCCCCAGCCTTTTTGTATTTTTTTGAGACAGAGTCTCACCAAGGTGCTTAGGGGCTTGCTAAATTGCTGAGGCCGGTCTTTTAACTTGCAATCTTCCTGCCTCAGCCTTTTGAGCCTCTAGGATTACAGGCGTGTGCCACCACACCCCTCCTTACACAAGGATCATAACTTCACTTGATCCATACTCTGGCTACCAAGCCAACCAAATTCAAACAATGGGAGAAAAAAATGAATCTAGCATTTGTGACTTTTTTATACTTCTCTTTTAACAAAACTCTATAGTTAAGATAAGATGTAAGTCAAACTTCAGTGTTCCCAACCTGTAAATACTACTCACCCTCACATAGTGAAAATGTATGTTTTCACAAATAGGGTAGAGCTCCTGGGTAATCAGTAATTGTGTGCTCTGTTTCCTCTACTGTAGCCCAGTAGAAATCGCACTTAACAAATCCTGCTGTCTATATTTTCTCCTCCATAGCTACTTGTATTAGTGATCCTGCAGGGTTTTATTTTCATGGGAAATGTACACCACAAAAATGAATACTTCTGCATAAGAGGAGAAAAATTACTGTGAAAAATTTAAACAAAGGTAGAACAAGAAGTTTGTTATACTTGTTGTTTAAACTGACTTTTAAAATCAGAACTCAAAACTGGCAGCCTGGTCTGTTTTATTTGTCCAACAAAACGTTCACAGGTTTTTTCAGTTCTGAAAGCTTTTCAGTGGGGCTGGTACCCTCCTGTTTGCTACAGGCCCCTCCAACCCTCTTATACTTTCCCTTGCATTCATGGGCCACCATTCCCGCAAGCCCAGTAGGCACTTGAATTTGCTAATCCCTACCTCTTATGGATAAACCAAAATTAATGTGAATAATTTTCATATTTGCCAAAAACTTTAACTGGACTTGAAAATGAGTTTCACAATTAAAATAATATACTCTTCTCCAAGACAACTAGATTTTTGGCATGCTGCCTTAAATTTTTTTGGCTGGACTTTTGTCAGTAATAGCCTTTTCTAAATAAGTGAAACACAAAGTGGTATTGTGTATTTGATTTATTTGATTAAGTTGTGTTCATGGCCACATAAGGCAATTTTGCATTATCAAATTATGTGTAATTTATACTTATAATTTTTATTTATGTTGAAGCACATTTAAAAGACCAAAATACTTAAAGAAAATAATAACTCAAATGTATATAGATCTCTCTATATATACATATAACTTTCCAGATTTCCCTTTCAAAAGTATCAGAACATTTTATAAATACTTCACAAAAAGTTATTTTCTATGGTATGAAATATCCACACAGTCTCACAGGATGACAGAGGGAAATTCATACTCCTTATTTAGGGTATTAAATCTCTAATATCATATTTTTTCTTCACAAAAAATAAACTTTAACTAATGTTAAAAATGTTTTACTTTAGCAAATAGTTGAATAATGCTTTCAATGAATGGAAGAACTTAGGCCCTTGAAAAGGAATGTTAAGTAGTTCCTAATTCTCCCATCTGTTTTTCATGTGGACACTGCCTCCTAGATCACTTTTATACTATCATATTTATGTTGTGTGGATTAGAGCTCTCTTATGCCAAAATAACAGTGAGCTACCTGTGTTTCTATTTACTGCTTTCCTGCCAAATCTCCAGTCCCCCTATAAAAGTAGTTTGCTTTTATGATGCTGTGATTATTTTTTCCCTCTAATGTCTATATTATTTACTCCCAGTCCTAGTCTGGTCTGCTTGCATTTTCTGTCCATTTATTTGCCTAAAAAGATAAGCAAACATTAATTTGCAAAGGACATGGGGAGTGATAAATATAAGATAATCTTTTAAGGATTTGTCCATCTCCAACATTTGTTCACCAAGCTTTAAAAACATTAGAGTCATACCATTACTGTTTATTCTGATATATGTCCTTAAAAAGGAATGTCCTTAAAATTAGAGGCTGGGGTTGGGGCTCAGTTGGTAGAGCGTTTGCCTTGCATGTGTGAGGCACTGGGTTCGATCCTCAGCACCACATAAAAACAAATAAATAAAATAAAGGTATTGTGTCTGTCTACAACTAAAAAATAATTTTTTAAAGAAAATGATAGAGCTACTTGAAATGGCAAAATAAAAGTCTAAAATATTTTTCTGAATTATAAGAGACAAAACAAAGTAGCAAGACCTTCTGAGTAAGTTGTTTACAACCCTGAGGAAGAATTAAAATTCTCCGAGGAGCTTTCAAAATTACGGATGCCTAGATTCATCTCCAGAAATTCTGATTTAATTGGTTTGGAGTGCAGCCTGGACATGAGATTTTTATAAAGTCTCCCAGATGATTTTAAAGTACAACCAATGTTGAGAACCACTGGTCCATCTCCAGAATGTCTGCTCCCATTAACCATAATATCTATTCTTTAACCTTAATCTTGATTTTAATCAATTGGTACATTTTTAAAACACAGTCTCTCAAACTTTAGTTCCAGAAATTTAAATTATATTTGTCTGAGGTGGAACTCAGGCAGTTTTTTAAGTGTTATAATTTTAATGTGAAGTTAAGGTTAAGAATTTAATAATTATTGCTCAAGAACCAAGATGTTCAACACTGCAACATGGAGTTGACAGTATGATATACTGTCATTATTTTCATTTTTTTTTTGATGGCAAGCTATAATCTTTGCTTGCTAGAAGAGTTCAATGGCACAAATTCAGTTTTGTAGCTAACTTCTTTAGAAAATCATTTGTAGTAACAGCTGTTAAAAGGCAAACTGAGACACATTAAAACATTTAAGAGTTTATTTGTGCATTTGGCAATTCATAGGTCAGACCACTCTAGACCCCCAGCAGTTTGAGGACTCTGCCAAAGGGGCCCAGAAGGAGGCTTTTATATGGTGAATGCAGAAGCAAGGCAAAGGAAAATTGGGGTAAACTAAAGCAGTATTGGACTCATTGGAGCACAAAGACCCTACTTAGAGGTTAGTTGGCAGTTACTGACTGGTGAAGCTGGCTTCACTGTACTGTTTACACTGAAATGGGTTTTGATCTGCTCAGGTAGCTGGAGCTGCCGCAGCCAATGGCCTCCTACTGAATTATTCTAACACAATAATAGTTCTTCAGGATTCAGTGGGAAAATTGCAGGACTGGACATTCTCCCAGTGAGTGGTTTTGGATTTGTTCGGCTGTAACTCTTGGTCTAGTTAGACACTGTATTTTTGCCGTGACAGCTGATATGCAGAATTTTTAGTCGCTCTGAGACAGTCTCTGCTGGGCGTTTGCCACACCTCGAGGAGATTCAAAGCGACTTGGGATGTTTTCAGTTTACTCTTCTTACTTAAATGAATGAAAATGGTTCCAATAGAGCGCACAATCCCCCGAATAGCTTCCTATAACACACGAATCTGAGGATGTCCTTTTGTAAATTTAGATCATTGGAAAGTATGAAAAAGGCTTAGTTATTTTAAATAACGTTGAGCCAGCAAGCGAGACACACGGACCAACCACGACGTTAAGCGCGAATGGTGGACGGCGCATGCGCGGGGCCGAGCGCCCCCCTGTGGTCACGTGAGGGAACCACCCGGGCGCGCTCCGGGGAACTGTAGAGAGCGCAGCCATGGCCATGGCCAACGACGCACAGCCCGACGCCGAGACGCTGCAGGTGCTGCAGGACATGGCCCACCGCCTGCGGATCCACTCCATCAGGGCCACGTGTGCCTGCAGCTCCGGGCACCCCACATCGTGCTGTAGTGCCGCGGAGATCATGTCCGTGCTCTTCTTCCACGCCATGAGGTACAAACGGACCGAACCGGAGCACCGCGACAACGACCGGTTTGTCCTCTCCAAGGGCCACGCGGCTCCAATCCTCTACGCCGCTTGGGCCGAGATAGGCGACATCCGCAAATCCGACTTGCTGAGCTTGAGGAAAATCCACTGCGACTTGGAGGGACACCCCACGCCTCGACTCTCGTTTGTTGACGTGGCAACAGGATCCCTCGGGCAAGGACTAGGCGCTGCCTGTGGAATGGCGTACACTGGCAAGTACTTCGACAAGGCCAGCTACCGGGTGTTCTGCCTCCTGGGAGATGGCGAATCCTCCGAAGGCTCTGTCTGGGAGGCTTTGGCTTTTGCTTCCCACTACAATTTGGACAATCTCGTGGCAGTCTTCGACGTGAACCGCTTGGGACAAAGTGGCACTGCCCCCTTGGAGCACTGCACAGACATCTATCAGAATCGCTGTGAAGCCTTTGGGTGGAATACTTACCTAGTGGATGGTCATGATGTGGAGGCCTTGTGCCACGCATTTTGGCAAGCAGCTCAAGTGAAGAACAAACCTACTGCTGTCATCGCCAAGACCTTCAAGGGTCGAGGTATTCCAAACATTGAGGATGCAGAAAATTGGCATGGAAAGCCAATGCCAAAAGAGAGAGCAGATGCAATTATCCAGTTAATTGAGAGTCAGATACAGACCAACAGGAATCTCATGCCCAAGCCCCCTGTGGAAGACTCACCTCAGATCAGCATCACTAATATAAAAATGACCTCTCCGCCTACTTACAAAGCTGGTGACAAGATAGCTACTCGAAAAGCATGTGGTTTGGCTCTGGCTAAGCTAGGCCATGCACATGAAAGAGTTATTGTTCTGGATGGTGACACAAAGAACTCCACCTTTTCTGAGATATTCAAGAAAGAACACCCTGAGCGTTTCATAGAGTGTTTTATTGCTGAGCAAAACATGGTTAGTGTGGCACTGGGCTGTGCCACACGTGGTCGTACCATTGCCTTTGCTAGTACCTTTGCTGCCTTTTTGACCCGAGCATTTGATCAGATCCGAATGGGAGCCATCTCCCAAACTGATATCAACCTCATTGGTTCTCACTGTGGGGTATCCATTGGTGAAGATGGACCATCTCAGATGGCCCTAGAAGACCTAGCCATGTTTCGAAGTATTCCCAATTGCACCATTTTCTATCCAAGTGATGCTATATCAACAGAGCATGCGGTTTATCTGGCTGCCAATACCAAGGGCATGTGCTTCATTAGAACCACCCGACCAGAAACTGCAATCATTTATACTGCACAAGAAAATTTTGAGATTGGACAGGCCAAGGTAGTCCGCCACAGTGTTAATGACAAGGTTACAGTTATTGGAGCTGGAGTTACTCTACACGAAGCCTTAGCAGCTGCTGATGATCTTTCTCAACAAGGTATTTCTATCCGTGTCATTGACCCATTTACTATTAAACCCCTGGATACAGCCACTATTATTTCCAGTGCAAAAGCCACAGGTGGCCGGCTTATCACAGTAGAAGATCACTATAGAGAAGGTGGTATTGGAGAAGCAGTCTGTGCAGCTGTCTCCAGGGAGCCTGACATCCTTGTTCATCAGCTGGCAGTGACAGAAGTGCCTCGAAGTGGGAAGCCTAGTGAATTGCTGGACATGTTTGGAATCAGTGCCAAACAAATCATAGAGGCTGTGAAATGTACTTTAATGAGCTAAGTAGCTCATTTTTTAACAAATCTGTTGACTTTGGTCTTAAAACACTGGTGGTTTTATAGTGAATTTATACTTGTTACAAAACCATCTATACAGTTGTACTGGTTTTAAAAAGCAAAGCCACTTAACACAATTACTAATTTCAAAACTCAAGTTATTGAACTTTCTGTTAAACTCTAATATGTAAATGTCTATCTTGTTTTTTAAACCTTTAAAGTGAGTCATAAAAATTTTAAGGTGTAGAATAGTAAATAAAGCAACCACTTAATATAAAGTTCTTTGATAAGACTACAAATAATTGACTGGGCTGGGTATGAATCTAGAGGTAACTGCTTCTTAAAAATGTATAATTTCCTTATAAATTAAGAAAATGTGAATTTTAGATTTTAATAGCCCAGATTATAAAGCAAACTTGAACTTTCATAAAATGCCATCACCATGCTGTGCCTGAAGTTTCCCAGATGATATTTTACTGCAGTTTCCTTGGAATTTCCTTTGAAGTTCATCTCCACTCTACAGTTCAGAGACAGAAGAGCAGCAGCAAAATCTTTTATGATGCATCACGCTGTTTGTGGTGACTATTCTGTAAAGAAATGAAAACAACTATTTCCAGTGTGTATGCTACATGCACTTTTTTGTGTAAAAATTCAGAAATGTTTCACTTTTTTGTGATTAAACCAGATTGCTAATTTTATTATATTTATCTATATAATAAAGTGTTTTAAAATAAACTACATTATTTGGTTTCTGTTGTATATATGTGATTTGGTTTCTCATAAAACTATAATTCAGGAACACACTTTTAAAGGTTATGTCACCCAGTGTCAAACCTTGAGAAAGGTTGGGGCTAGAGACAAATCACTAGAAAACAATGGATAAACTGAAAAGTCATCTCTTAGGCAGATTTCTCACTTTTAGCTGTGAGTGCATAAATCATACACTTGGAATATGAGAAAGAAGTACCAGTGCAGTAAATTAAAAATGAACCCTGGAATCCATATTAAAGTTACTGAGAGTATGTCTATGTCAGGTAGTTTGCTTAATTTTGTTGCCCTCATTAAAGTCCTCATTAAGTTCTTTGGAGGTATAACCAGTTTTTCTTGGCAATGGTTATAGGTGTGATAGATATAAATTATGATTTCTTGGGAATTAGAAAAATCAGAGCCTAAGTAATTCTGCTACTGTCCTCTTTCTCTGAGCTAGTTTTCTCTTTTGTAAAATGATCATGATGATGTGTTTTTATAAGATTTAAAATTTATTTTGAAAAAAAGTTGACATAGGAACATTTTAGAAATTTGGAAAATGCAAATATGCAAAAAAATTATCTCACACTTTATCAAAAAATTAAAAATAAAAGTATTTGCCTGTATGTGATGGATTTTCCAATAGAGTCATTTGAATTTAGTAAAGTCAAATATCCCATTTATTCATGAGTTGTATGCTAATAAATGATAAGTCTCTATCCTTAAATTTTTTATATCTTAATAAGATTCAATGTTCAGTAAACTAGGTAAAATATTAATTCTGTTAAATAAATAGCTTTAATGTTTAATAAAATTTTATTAAATTTAATAAAATAGCTTGTTATAATTTGGAAATGCATCAGAGGACAGTCTTCTGCTTTTGTTAGTTGTAACATGAATGTGGGTATGCAGAATGGCCTGTTTTCAACCAAAATGGTATAAAAGGTTTATACCTTTTAGTAGTGACAGTAGATCAAGGATTTTTTTGTAATGGTTTGTGGAATCTTAGATACCACCAGAAATTATATTTTTTTTATAGTAGCATAGGGAGGCCCTTAAGAATCTGTACTGTAAAGTTTCTGTTTCCATAGGGTTTTGACCCTTGGCTATCAGATCTAGAAAGAAGAGAAAGGGGGTGAGACTTATCATGCGTCTATAATTCTTCATGTAAGATGAAACTATGTCAGTTTTGTTATAGTGAATGTTTTGTGGCCTTGAATCTATCCTGAGATCTCTTACATGTCTAGGAAAATCTTAGGAGAGAATCATCCTAGCTGATGCTAACCCTGGGCTGCTAAAGCTTGTGAAGATGTAGTTTTGATGAACAACGGGATTGCTGGTTCAACTCTGGTCTTCGGTTCATTGTTTTGCCAAGGTCTTTTAGATTATCAAGAGAGCCTGATGATATTACAGAGACAGGTGTGACACCACAGTGTCCTTGCTTACATTGTGGTAATAAAGGCCAGCTGACAGCATCTGAGAATTGATACTGATCATTCAGATGGTAAATGGCTCCCAGGTCGTTTCCTTATTTCTGTTACTGTCAGAGAGAGGAATCAGGACAGTAAAGTTTTGTTTCACTTTACTTTGTTTAATAAATTTTCTTTAATAAAAGTTCAGTTGAAGGCTCTATTTAGGAAGAAATTAACTTTTTAAAGATAAAGACTCAATGCTTCTGATTTTAAAATTATTGAAGAGTAATGTTAGGTCATGCATGAGGTTTAGTAACCCCACAGTTTACTGAACCATACGGGAATTACTAAATTCTCCAGGACCTAATCAGAGTCATTCTGGTTTGAAGTGTTGAGATGCATTGATCTATTTTGGTAGCCTTTACTATTACGTAAGGGAGGCCCTGGGACATCATTGAAATAGGAAAGAATGTCATGTTCTAGAAAAAAAACATCTCCTCTTTTCCTTAGGAGAGGGGAGGGAACACTGAACTAATTGCTTTTACTGACACTGGTGGGAGAGGTGTTCCCTAAGAAAACTGTTTTATAAGGCATGAGGTTAATGGCAAGAAGGGAAGATAGGCATTTCTTTGCCAGGTTGGATGTTGACTTGGACAGGGACTTGCTTCCCTGACTGTAGAGTTACATGTTGAAATAGGAAGGTTGGCAAATACTGCCAACAGGCAAAATGTGCCTCACTTGTATTTGCAAGCTAAGAATAATTGAAAAAAATTTGAAGAGTACTTTTTCATGATGTGAAAATTATGTGAAATTTAAATTTCAGTGTACACGAATAAATTTCTATTAAAATATACCCCTATTCATTCCATTGTGTATTGACTGGAGCTGCTTCAGAGCTACAATGACAGCATCGAGTAGTTATTACAAACACCATACAGTCTTCAAAGTCTAAAATATTAACTATCTGACTTTCACATTAAATGTTTGCAAACTCTGGGGTAGAGCACTGCGAAGAGATGAGAGTGACGGTATAACCATATGGTAGAGATAAAGACCTTCACCCTCTCCAACTTTATAAGACTTTCAGTCATTAAAACAGCTTCATTCTATTTAAGGTTATCACATAATGTAAAGCTTCAAACTCAAAGTTCTCCCTTTCTCCACAGCTGCTCAAGTAAATGTTGAGAGCATTCTTTCCTTCGACTCCTTTCCTCTAACCCTCTTCCCAATAGTTCATCCAAATATACTACTGTCATCTCTCTGTTGAACACCACTGCTGACTAATATTACGAACTCAGCAAGGCGTAAGGTCAACTGATCCCAAGTCAAAGATTTGATAGCACTCTTTGAGCTGGAGTTCCCTTCTAAGAGGGATCAGACTTTTCTTTTATTCCCAAATGCAGACAGACATCTTAGGATTTCTTGGATGGACACACCCCTCTCTCGCCTGCACAGCAGCCTCTGGTAAACCTACGACATCTAATCTTGTTAACACTTTGTAGTCTAATACAGAGGTGGCCTTCAAGCCTGAACCTGAAGAAAGAGAGATTGGGGAAGGAGAGATTGAGAAAGAATGAGGACACAGCCAGAGAAAAAATACACCCTTCAAAGGCATGCTCTTGTTGATCTATTTTCTCCAACTGGGGCCAACCTTCTAAAGTTTCCAGTACCTCTCAATAGAGCCACCAGCTGGGGACCAAGTCTTTAACACATGCACCTTTGGGAGACATTCCAGATGGAACCCTTTGCCCTTGCCTCACTGCACCAGTGCTGTCTTTCTCACAAACCAGGTGTGTACAGGTGGAGGTGTGTGCCTGCCGTATTGGACTATTTGTCAATTCTTGTGTCTATGCTACTCTCTTAATCATCATCACTTCATAGTATCCAAACATTTAAGACCCCCCGTTTCTTCCACTTTTTGTTCTTTTTCAAGATTGCTTCTCTTATTCTCCATCCTTTAATTTCAATATAAATTTTAGAAATACTGACAGTTTCCACGTATTCAGTTGCTTCTTGGTGCAATGACAAATGGAATTATATTTCTTCTTAATAATGTGATTTAAAGAGATCATGTTATTAAAAGTCATTGGGGAAGTTAAGCTGAAGATATTTTATTAAAGGAATTTTAGCAAGCTAAGTTTGGTTCTCAAACTCAGGTAGGTGTGCCTTGCATAGTCCTGAAGACTTCTCAACTGGTGTGCACACATGAAAGATTTTGAATCCATTTGCAGAAACTTCAACCCATGTTTTTGTTCATAAAATTGATCTGCCTGGGAATACCACTGTGATCCTTTCCAATATTCTCTTTCGTAATATTCTTTTCTACTTTTCAAAAGAAAGGCGTACTTCTCACCCGCCCTTAGTGTCATCATACATTACCAGTGATGAGATCATAAAAGTGACAAGCAAATGAACTTTTCAAAATATTGGTTCTGAAAAACCTCTAACGAAGTCACTATGAACTGTCAGCGAATCATTGCGTTTTTCCTTGTCTTACTCCTAATTTTGGTTAAGGTAAAGCCTGAAATTAGACAGCAGCTTCAACCCATATGAGCATGTCCTTAATTCAAGATATATTGTAGATTGAGTGATGGCCAGAATGACCATTTTTGTCTCACCAGTTATTTCCTCCCATCTCTGAATGGACAAAACTTTTTGCTGATTCAGGGTAGCAAAGCAAAGAACAGCAGTTAAGAAATATTGAAGGTGGCATCACTTAGTTTTCTGACGATCAAGCTCTGACAAGTCTTTGTGTCATATTTACCTATGAGTTTTAGCAATGGAATATTCAAGACTTATGGGAAGTGTATTCAGTCTTCTCATAAAGAGAAGAAGCCTGCTAAAGACTCTCATTCACTTGAACCTATTGTTAGAAT